TGCATCATGCACTGACTTAGTATGGAGAATAAAGAGATTTGAGACCATAGGTGTACCCGTTTCTCAAAAAAATAAAAATTTTATAGGGTTAAGTCCACTTATTATGGGGTATATAAAGTTTAAGTAAATTACTCATTGAAAAATTAGAAATGATGCCCATGTACCATGAAATTATGATATGCATCAATATATATATATATATATAAATTTGGAGTGTGGTTAGATATTTTTAAACAACACTAAAGAGGCTAAATAGTATAGATAATATTTATTGAAAAATTAATCTTTTCGTAGGGTTAACCCACATATTTCAAAATAAATTAGAAAGTATGGTATTTTTGTTTCAATGCATAGAAGCATCATGCACTGATTTATTATGAAAATTAAAGACTTTTGAGACCTTAGGTGTTTTCATTTCTCTAGACAATAGAAATTTTATAGGAGTTAGTACACTAATCCGGTAGTATATGAAGTTTAAAAAATTTACTCATTGGAAACTTAGAAATGATGTACATAACCATGAAAATAAGTTTAAAATACCTTAATAAACATTTAGAGTGTTTTTAGGTATTTAAAAACATTAATGAGACTAAATTTTAGTATATATATTACATTTATTGAAAGAAAAAAAATTAGGTTTTCTCGTAAGATAAATTAGAGAGTATAATATTTTAATGTAATGCATAAATTCATCATACACTTACATGTGATAAAAATTAAAGATGTCTGAGATCTTGTTGGTCCCCGTTTCTCTAGAACTTACAGATTTTCTAGGGATATGGAATATAAATTTTATTAAATTACTTATTAAAATATTAGAAACGTTGTTCATGTACCATGAAAATAAACTTAATATACATTAATATAAATGTATAATGTGATTAGGTGTATTTTAATATAAAAAAAAAGATCTTAAACTTTAGTATATAGCATTTATCAGAAAACTCGATCTTTTTATATGGGTTAACTCATATATTTCAAGAAAAATCAAAATATATGGTATTTTTATTTTAATGCATAAATGAATCCAAAACTAATATATGATGAAGATCAAGGATGTCTGACACCTTTGTTGTCCAATTTCTCTAGAATATAGAGATCTCATAGGGTTTAGTTCTTTGATTTACGTGGTATATGAAATTTTATTAATTTATTCGTTGGAAAATTATACTTATTTTAATGTGCCATGAAAATAAATTTAGGAAACATTATTATAAATTTTTTAACGTGGTTAGATATTTTAAACAACACTATAGAGAATCAAGTTAAGTACAAATAGCATTTAGCGGAAAAACTCGATCTTTTTGTAGGGATTAACGCCACATATTTCAAGATAAATTATAAAATATGGAATTTTTTATTTATGCATATCTGCATCTGGAACTGATATATTTAATGAATATCAAAGAGTTTTTGATACCTTAGTTGTCGAAATTTCTCTAGAAAATAGAGATTTTATAGGGTTTAGTTCTTTAATTTTGGTGGTATATGAAGTTTTATTAAATTTTTTGGTTAAAAATTAGAACTGATGTCCATGTAGAATGAACATAAGTTTAGTACATTAATATAATTTTTTAATGTGGTTAGATATTTTAAAACAAAACTAAGAGGCTTATATATGATATTTATTATAAAACTCAATCTTTTTGTATGGGTTTACTCACATATTTTAAGATAAAATAGAAAATAATGTATTTTGTTTTAATGAATTATTGCATCCTGTACTGATATAGTATGAAAAATAAAGAGGGTTAAGACCTTGCGTGTTCCCGTTTCTCAGAAAATGAAGTTTTCATAAGAGTTAGTCCACTTATTAGGTGGTATATAAATTTAAATAAATAATCATTGGACAATTAGAAATGACGCTCATGCACCATGAAAATAAGTTTAGACTATATATATATATATATATATATATATATATATATATATATATATATATATATATAAATTTCAGTAAGGTTAGATATTTTTAAACAACACTAAAAATGCTAAATAGTATAGTAAATATTTCATTCAAAAATTAAACTTTTTGTAAGGATTAACCCATATATTTCAAGATAAATTAGAAAGTATGAAATTTTTGTTTTAATGCATAGTTGCATCATGCATTTACATATCATGAAGATTAAAGAGTTTTTGAGACCTTAAGTGTTCTCATTGCTTTAGAAAACAGAGATTTTATAGAGGTTAATACACTAATTAGGTCAGATATTAAATTTATAAAAATCACTCATTGAAAAATTAGAAATGATGTTCATGTATCAGTGTTTAGCATAAATTATTATATATTAGAGTGTGGTTATATATTAAAAAAATTAATGAAGCAAAACTTTAATATATATAACATTTTTATTGTAAAAAACTAGATCATTTTGTAAGATAAATTAGAAAATATGGTATTTTATTTTAATACATATCTTCATCATGCAATAACATTTGATAAAAATTAAAGAGATCTGAAACCTTATTTGTTCTTGTTTCTCCAGAATTTATAGATTTTATAGAGGTTAGTCCACTAAATTAGAGGGAATATGGAGTTTTATTAAATTACTCATTAAAATATTAGAAATGATATCTATGTACCATGAAAATAAGTTAATTATGCATTAATATAAATGTATAATATGATTATTTAATTTTTAGTCAACATGAAAGAGTTTAAACTTCAGTATATAGCATTTATCGGAAAACTCAATTTTTTGTAGGGGTTAAACTATATATTTCAAAATAAAATAGAGAATATGGTATTTTTCTTTTAATGTAGACGCATCCAATACAGATATAGGATGGAGATCAAGGGTGTATGAAACTTTTGTTGTCTCAGTTTCTCTAGAATAAAAAGATTTCATAAAGTTTAGTTTTTCATTTTATTTTCGTGCTATATGAAGTTTTATTAAACTACTCGTTGAAAAATTATAATTGATGCCCATGTACCACAAAAAAATAAATTTAGGATATATTATTATAAGTTTTTAATGAGTTTAGATATTTTAAACAACACTAAAAGGATAAACTTAAGTACAAATATCATTTATCGGAAAAAATCGATCTTTTACCGGGGTTAACGTACAAATTTCAAGATAAATTAGAAAAATATAGAATTTTGTATGTATTCATATCTGCATCCAGGATTTATATATAATGAATACTAAAGAGTTTTGATCCTAGAGTTGTCTAAATTTCTTTGGAAAATATAGATTTCATAACTTCATAGCTGCATACATAAATGATATACAAAAAGTATAATTTTATCAAAGATACAAATAATAAGAAAAAAAAAAGTGCATGTATAATTTACCAATAAAATATGTTAGTAGAGAAAATCTTTTAATGTTGCCATATAATCATATTTTGACTATACATATATTTTTCATAGCTTCAAATAAATTATGAATGTGATACTTATCATTATAATTTATCTTATTAGTTTAGTAAATGGTTAGGTTTAAATCTGTTCGCTTCTTTTAATTAGTTTTAAATATATTAAATTGTATTTATAATTTCAAATAACTTACAAAATAATAATAAGATACATATATATATATATATATATATATATATATTTAACTTAGTATTAGCATATTAAATTGAATTATAATCTGAAATTTTAAAATCAATATAAAATTTTAGTAGCATTATAAATGAATATAGACACATGTAATCTACATTGTACACATGTTAAAATAACTTCGTCGAAAAAATAAATCATATTTTATAAGAATATAAATTATATAGTATGATATATTTATTTATTTTAAATGAATTTCCGTGTGATATCGCACGGTTTCCTTAACTAGTTTTATTAATAAAAAACATTGTTTTAATTTTTTTTTTCAACACATATTTAAAATAATATTATATTAAAACTGAGGATGTCAATAAAAATGATAGTATATATATACTTAAGTTATAATTCATAATTCTAAATTATTATCCTCGTTTTAAAATGGGATGCTAAATTCTGAAGTCTACTTTGATCTTAAAACATTTCAACGAAATCAATCATATATATATATATATACCAAATTTTATTAAACTAATTATTTTCTTTTATAAAAAAACATGTTACGCTATTTTTTGCTTGCACGATTAATTAACAAAACCCATATAATTTTCCATGTTTTGTGGTTAGTGCAGTCTCTTCAGGTAGTCATTTTTCGATCTCTAGTTTGTAATATCATAACAATTGTGACTGTCATAATATGACAAGCATAATTTCAAAAAGCTATACAAGTTTTGGTCAAAAGTACTGTATAAAACAAGTCTAGGTTGATAATACATTAAAGATAAACAAGTTATATGAGAAACTAGCGGCATGTGTTTGATCAGTGCTCACTGCTCACATGGGTGAAACTGTTCGGTTCCTCCATATCAGCTTCTGTTTTGCTTACGTCCCTCTTTCACTTCCCCACAAAATGTCTAGAAATAACAGTATTTTATAACTACGTTTTTTCTTCCAATCAACGCTATGGTCATCTTTTAATTTATGTTTAAGTACATGGCTAATTTCTAACAAATTACTCTCTCTAATTCACAAAATAATTTAAACAAAGTTATATATATTAAAAAAATTAATCTTCAATTATAAATATTTAGTATTTTTTGTAACTGAAATATTTAGTTTTAACTAAAGAATTTCCTGTAACTTTAAATTAATAATAATTTTTAAAATATAACTATTATCGATAAATATTTTCCATATCTAGTAAATTATGCCACGACCTCAAAACATGAAAGCAATAAAGGGATTTAACTACATCTATCGGAAAAGAAATGATGCAGCACGTATACAAAGTTCTCGTCGATTAATTCATATAACACGCACGAAAATCATAGATTATAATGTTCTAGAATACATTTTCCTTGGAAAAGACGTACAAAACAACATCATCTCAAATGTTATACTTCAACAGAAAAACGTCATTATCATTACCCAGAAAAATATTTATTTATACACAAAATCACACATCAGCAATATCGTCAGCATTGTCAAATTGTTGTTTTCTTCGAACCCTATTAAACCCTCAAGAAAAGTCTTCAAACCAAATAACACTTTCAATTAAAAAAAAAATATAAATCTTCTGTAAATAACAAAAACCCTAGAGACGAAAACTCAAAACATGGGTCTGATTAGCAAAGAAGAAGTTAGCAAAACAAGAAGATATTCATCTTCTTTATGGAGAGGAGTCAAGACTATCTTCGTTCTCTTCACTATGCTCCTCTCTTTCATCCTCTTCTCTGCTCCTATCTTCCTCGCCGTCGCAGACGCCATCCTCCCCTCCGCCATCCTCTCCTCCTCCTCCTCTCTCCCACGTCTTTCTCCGGCGACTGTTTCTTCTCATCTAAGCAACTATGACTTTAGATACTCCCTCATCGATATTCCTCTCATCTCCATCATAAGATCTGCCATTATATTATGTAAGTAACCCACAAACTAAGTGAATAAAACACTAAAAGTCCATCTTGTATTTTTTTTTTTTTAATGTTTTGTTATAACAGGTGTTTATGGGCTATGTGACGGACCAAAGTTATCACGGGGTCCATATCTTACAATAACCATGTTCTGTTCGATATCTTCATTGATCTACGTGTCTTGTAAGGCAGCGTTTGTGTTTGGTGAGCCAATGATTGGAGGAGGAAGTTTCAGAACAGAGGAAGTGGCTCTGTTTGTGTGTTCGTCGGTTTTAGCCATTGGTCATATCGTTGTGGCGTATAGAACAAGTTGTAGAGAGAGAAAAAAGCTACTAGTCTTCAAGATCGACATAGAATCCGTAAGTTTCTCAACTTTTTGTTTTTTATTTAATTAACGTTTAGCCGTTACAGAAAACATTATGGGGGAACATTATTAGTATTGTAAATGAAAAAGGCAGCTTTGAATTGCTTAATTTTCAAATCTTGTAATTTTCAAATCTTGTAGTATTATTTAATTTTGATTTTTTTTTTATAATATGTTAGATATGCTCGTCTTCTACCACTAATAAAAATCGAACTCGGTCAGAAATAGCATGTGACTTTAGATTTTATTATATAGTCAACGGTTTGAATTAATTTACACATTTTTGGCACTACAGAATTTTTGAAGTTTGTATGTAGTTTATAGGTTGGAAAATGACTGGTCAATATAGAGGGTTTGATTTTTCACTCCCCAAAAAGAAAATTGTATTTCGAGTAAAACAACACATTTTCATGTTTAAAACAATTTAATTCAAACCTAATTAGATAGTGACTATTAGAGCATCTCCATCCCTGAAACTCTAGCAAAAGTTCATAAGTTTTTTTTTTCAATTTTTTATTATTTTTTTTCAGAACTAAAAAAAAAAAAAAAAAAAAAAAC